TCATTGATTTTCTCCTTGCGTGAATAAGTAGAAACACGATGGATAATAGCCAAATCAATGGCGGTCGCAATGTGTCGCATTCGGTCGCATTAGTATAGATAGGGGTATGTCACATTTCGTTGCAGTATTAGCAAATTTAAAGGCGAAATGTTTTCAGAATCAAAATAGGTAGGCCCCTACAAACAGTTCAGCTTAAATCTAAATAATTTATAGTTTTGCTTATTCGTTTTCTTAAATTCTTAAAATTGGTAAGACATTTGGATATCTACTTACTAAATAACAAATGTAACGGATTCATGAAAATGGATAGCGTTGTAAGTAGCAGTTGGATAGTAAAACAATTTTAGAAAAATAGTCCTTCGTTTAAAAATAATTTTTCAAGAATTTATTTTGAACATGTTACTATAAAGTGCTATATTATGTCAATGTTAATCTATCTATCTATCTATCTAATACTACTAAAAGTCAACTTTGTTTACATGTTTGAATATTTATTTGTTTGTTGTCTAGTTGAATACTGTAGATGATCTACGCTATATGGAGAACTGTAAAATAGAGTGTAGGTATAGAACAATTTTTGTTTTCAGACAGACTGTTAATCACAAATTTATTTAAAGACGCTAATTAATTTATTGATTTATTCATAGGTAGATTAACCACAGTAATTTTAAAGTTTTAGAACAATGGCTTTCTTTGACTGAATAATGACGTCACAAGTTTTGTTTACTTTTTAGTACAAAAACAAGGCGGCTTCCGTCATTGACTTTGTGGCCCATTCAAAAGTTTAACGCGTTCTAAAGCTAATTTTCTGTCGGCTATGACTTTAACAATACGTCCGTTTGCTGTTTTTATTACGTTCCAACACTTATATAAATTTTCAACTGTCTTTTTCATGTAGTTTTACAATAAATTCCTCTAGCTCTACAATCTGTCCAAAAAAGTTATTTATAGATCTAAAAAAATCAGGTGGCCAAGCAAGTTATTTATAGATCTAGATCTAGAATCTAGGTCAAACCAAAGATTAATTAGATACATACCAAAGATTAATTAGATAAAAATACAATCCATATACTTGATATAAATCTGTGTAATTCTTCTATCTAGATCTAGATCTATCTAGCTAGAATAGGTCTAGAGTCTAGTCTAATGATTAGATCTAGATCTAGTTCTAGCAAGAGTTACGCAAAAACTAGACTTAAGACTTAAGCAAACGAGTCGTAGAATCTAGATGTAGATAATTTCAGACCTTCATTATTTTATATAAATCTTTGTTTAGCTATGTAATTGGCTAATTTAAGATAAAATTTAATTTGAAACTACAAGGCAGCAGTTATTTCATGTTTAGGAGAGTTGCTGTCCTCAGCTATCGAGTCCCATGTGCTTGAAGGTTCGAACGCGAAGTAACCATGAGCTTTACCGACTCGACAGAGTTTCTTCCAGACATTTCTTCCCCGAACGAAATGAAATTTATATAATTTATATAGAAAATATATACTTTTAACAGTATTTTTGCATTTGCCCTAGATAAAATTACAAACAGTTGATTAAAATCAGACTTTCAATTACTTTTAATGTTATTTAAAATTGATAAAACAAATATTTAAAAAAAACACCTTTTAAAGTAAATTAGTTTTATTTTTTCTATTTTCAGTGCATTTAAAAGATTGTTGCTATGATTATGACAAGATCTATAAGGGTTTTTTCTATAATTGTTTTATTTTCTATTTTTTAGTGATTCCTAATATATGAAGTCGACACGACTCAAAATATCTATATATATAATTCTCTTCTGGGAGCCGTTAGAAAACAAGCTGCAAGAGCCTCCTTACAGTCCCCTCTCTTTCTCTCTATCACTATCACTACCACCCCCACCCCCACATTGTCTGGTGAGCTGTGGTCACGCTAAATGTTTACAAAGCTAAATATTTACAAATCGTAGAGCCGTAGAGCCGGGTTTCTATTAGGGGCAGATAATTTAGTTCGATTTTAAACTTACAGGAGGTAACTAAGAAATAACGAAGAGGAGGCTGCTTTCACTGGGTGGGGGGGGGGGGGGGGGGGGGTGGGTGGTGTAGGGTCGGGATTAGGGGAAAGGGGGGGGGGGGTTAGTGTTTTAAAGCAAATATTTTCAGTGGCAGCATTGGTACTGTCGAATTCACAAATTATGAATTACTGAAAAGTAGAAAATAAAACAACTAAATAGCGGCGTATGATACGCTGCGGGTCGGCTCGTTAACTGTCTGTCTGTCTGTCTGTCTGTCTGTCTGTCTGTCTGTCGGTCTGTCTGTCTGTCTGTCTGTCTGTCTGTCTGTCTGTCTGTCTGTCTGTCTGTCTGTCTGTCTGTCTGTCTGTCTGTCTGTCTGTCTGTCTGTCTGTCTGTCTGTCTGTCTGTCTGTCTGTCTGTCTGTCTGTCTGTCTGTCTGTCTGTCTGTCTGTCTGTCTGTCTGTCTGTCTGTCTGTCTGTCTGTCTGTCTGTCTGTCTGTCTGTCTGTCTGTCTGTCTGTCTGTCTGTCTGTCTGTCTGTCTGTCTGTCTGTCTGTCTGTCTGTCTACCTGTCTGTCTGTCTGTCTGTCTACCTGTCTGTCTGTCTGTCTGTCTGTCTGTCCGTCTGTCATATATTGTTATCCTTGCACGTTAAATTTAATTTTAATTCTGTTGTATGCAAAAAAGAGGTTGTTCCAAGACGTAGACACAAACAAGAATACTGTTAAATCAAAAAGACAAAAATTGTTGAAAGCAATAGAAAATCCAACATCGGTGATACACTTTTACTCATTTGATATTAAATAATAAAAAAATGTGAGTATTTGATTATGTGCATATATATATATGTATATATATATATATATATATATATATATATATATATATATATATATATATATATATATTTATATATATATTTATATATATATATATATACACATATACATATATACATATACATATATACATATAAATATACATATATATATACATACATACATATATATATATATATATATATATATATATATATATATATATATATATATATATATATATATATATATATATATATACACACACATATACATATATACATATACATATATATATATATATATATATATATATATATATATATATATATATATATATATATATATATATATATATATTTATATATATATATATATACGTATATATATATATATATATATATATGTATATATATATATGTATATATATATATATATATATATATATATATATATATATATATATATATATATATATATATATATATATATATATATATATATATGTATATATATATATATATATATATATATATATATATACACATATATACATATATACGTGTGTGTGTGTGTGTGTGTGTGTGTGTGTGTGTGTGTGTGTGTGTGTCCGTCACATTTTTCCGAGACTATGAGATCAATCTGTTCAACTATATGTTTAGATACATACTTTTGTTGGGAAAAAATATGCTGCTTATATTGAACATATATAAACTAAATCTTATTTAAAGAGGGAAATAAAAAAAATGAAGACGTATTGGAATGTAGAAAAACACCTATAATTGTTGCAATCGGAGAGGTGTTTATATTTGCGTTTATGTTTTTGTTGTTTGTTTATGTTTGTGACAAGAGAAAATATAAGTAACATAAAAACTATCACCCGCAGAGAATGACGTCACACGAAACAAACAGGAAAATATAATAAAACAAACTTAATGATAGGTCTAAACTACGGAAAAGTACACCCTTACAAACGACGTCATTGATTGTGAAGTTTAGAATTATTATATAATTTCAAATATTTAAGAAAGAACCGCCCTAAACACCCATTTGAAGTAAATCGGAGTGGCCAGGGAAAGTAAAACAATGAAAATCACAACAACTGTTTTCTATAATAAAATACGCAATAACGGTCAATGGGGTATAGCCTAGCAGTTTATTTATATTACATAATATAACATCTCTTATTACTACAACACCCTGACTCTACTAATCCAAGTTAAAAATAAAAGAACGTCTACTGCCCCCTATAACGAAATATAATTTATATAGAAAATATACTTTTACCAGTGGCGGCCCCACTCCCAGAAACATTTGTTCACCCCCCCCCCCCCCTCCCTCTTCCCCGGAGAAAAAAAATGAAAGAAACATTGGTCGCATTTATAGATCATACAGACTAATGGTAGACTTTCGGTTTTTCAAAAGTCAATAACTTGAGTATGGTTACCGGTATATAGACGAAATTTCACATAAAGATAGTAAAAGATAAATACGTACATAATATATTGAGTACATATAACACATACGTACTGTTTATAACATGTTTTTTTTTTCTTTATTTAGTCAGAAGCTGAACCAAGCACGCAGCTGCGCGGACCCAAAGCATCGTATAGACAGTGTGATGAACGTTTAGCGGTCAACCCAAAGAAAAGGAAGGCACACGTACCACCCTTAAAAAATATTGAATCTGAAGAAACAAATGAATCTGAAATATCTACACCCAAGAAAGTCTGCTTGTCTTCTAAAACACAAAAACTTTGTCCACAGCCTAAAACAGTGGCAGAGATTGGCACTGACACCAAACTGATGCATAAAGTTGTGTGCGTTCCGGCTAATTTACAGTTAGACGATAATGAACGATCACTTTTAAGCAAAGGTCTCACATTTGTGCCATCAAAACGTAATTGTGATAAATATGACTTAATTTATGAAGTTTATAAATATTTTTGTAAAATTAAGTCAGCTGCCTACTATCAGTACACTAGCCAACAAGAGAAGAACGATGATATGTTTTCTAATTTTAAACCAGAGCGCGCCCGATCCCTTCCTTGTAAATTGTCTAAAACTATCAACCAGTACATGGCATGTTGCACCAGTGAGCTGCAAGCTCTTAACCTCCAGCCGGTTAATGAGTCGAATCTGACATTAGGTGAAAAGCAGGCATTAAATCGATTGCGTAGAAGAAAAGACATAGTAATAATGCCCGCTGAAAAAGGTGGAGGTATATTTGTTTGGAAAAGAGAATTGTATGTCAAGAAATGTTACAGGCATCTTGCAGATCCCGCAATCTATTCTTTGAAGAAAACAGATCATACTTTAACAACTAATTCTAAGGTGTTTAAAGGTATAAAAGAACTTATCCAGTTAAATTTACTGCCTGAATCAGCTCGAAATCTACACCTGTTTGACAGTGATTTGGGGGAATCGGTTTTTTACTTGTTAACCAAAAATCCTGATGCACCAGGCAGACCTTTAGTTTCATCCAATTCCTGCCCTACTGAACACATCGCTTCAGTCTTAGATGGCATCTTCAAAACTGTGGTTGCTTCTCTCCCTTCTTTTATTAAAGATACCGATCATGCCATTGAGAAGTTAAACTTAATTTCGTTTCGTCCAACTAAACCTATGCGTATTTTTAGACTTGATGCGTGTTCCTTGTATACCTCTATCCCTCACAAGGATGGACTAGAAGCAGTTAAACATTATTTTACTAAAACCCCTCACCATAAGCTTAGTACTGACACAATAGTTCGGTTAACTGAACTTGTACTCACTTGTAACTCTCTAGAATTCGACGGTAATTTCTACGAGCAAATTAAAGGCGTGCCACTAGGGAGTAAGATGAGTGATAGTTACGTTAGCATTTTCATGGGCTATCTCGAGGAGAGAATCAATAAGAACTATAAAGGAAATTTACCAAAGTTTTATTTTAGATGTAATGCGGATGGGATAGGATACATGGAAAAGACTGATCTCGAGAAATATATTACATTTTGCAAGTCTTTTTATGCTGACATTAAGTTGGAATATAAAATATCCAATTCACGTGTGAACTTCCTTGACTTACGGGTCAGTGTACATAATGATGCACCTTTCATAAGAACTGAAATTGTATTTGACCCCAACTCATTTGATTATTTGCTATATACGTCATCTCACCCAAAAGCTTATAAAGAAGAAATTCTGCAGTCCCAATTATCACAACTTCGACGTGCTTGTACAAACGATAATGACTTCTCGATGAAAGCACAAGAGATGTTTGGGTTTTTCAGGCAATGTCTTTACCCTGAACTTCAATTTAAAAAAGCACTAAAACATGTATCTCGCTTTTCCAGAGATTCGTATTTCTTACGGGGATCGAAGACAACAACTGAGAGATTGAAACTTTTTCTACCGTATCACCCGCACAGCAAATCAGTGAAAGATATCTTACTTCGTAATTTTAATATTTTATCTTCTGATCCAGACTTCGGTAGTCTTTTCAAAAACCTACCTGAAGTTATTTATAAGCCTAACCCTAGCCTGTGGGACATACTTGTTCACAAGAGACTCCCAAGTCTTTCCCCGCCTGGAACTAGCCCTTGTAAAATAAAGAACTGTAAACTCTGCCAGTACACGTTTGAAACAAACTCCATACGATTTCCTGGTGGCGCCATGCGTGTGCGTGAACACTTCACCTGTCTCTCTCGCGGTGTCGTGTATGTGATCAAATGTAAACTTTGTCATGAGTGTTATATTGGTCAGACTGGCGTGAAGCTGTCTCAAAGAGCTGGCCAACATATAACATCTATAAGAAAGAAAACTAAATGCCCAGTCGCTGTCCATTTTAATGCGCCTGACCATAGACGGCTGGAAGATTTCAGTATAACCGCTGTTAGGTCGTGTAGGAATACTGAGGAAAGAAAAAAATTAGAAAACCGCTTGATTTATAAATATGACCCACTTGGACCTAAAGGAATGAACAAAATATTTTCGTTATTATGAAAATTCTCATAACGATACTTCGATCGCAAAGTCTTAGACAAGCGTTTTTGAAGATACCAGTCCAACATCGAAGAAAGTAAACATACCTTAGCCATATCTATATACTGAAATTGGTCATCACAAGCCACATATTACGAAGTAAAATGAAATATTTTCAAGAGTACAAGGTAGATGCAATGACCAATTTAATTTCTCATTTATTTAATTGTTTCTTCGTTATGACATGATTTTTCAAACAATAAAAAAAAAAAAGAATGCGTCCTACTCCAACATTTTTATCTAGTTCCCCTGTGTCATCCGGCCATCTTTTTTGCCTTCCTCGTCTTCTCCCCCCATGCACCGTGCCTTGTGAGTCTACGATAAGTCATTTAATTGTGTCACTATTTGACCAATTTAAAATGACAATGCTAGGCGAACCTTCAAAATTATATATCATACAGGTGACTTTTACCCGGTCCGCATCATTTGTTTTATGATCCATGTATGAAATCCCCAGAGTCTGAAACTAAAGCTATATACGATACATTTTTACTATCAGTAATTTTATTGAAAGCAATACTGTTACTCAGCAGATTTGGTGTTTTTTTGTCCTTAAAAGCCAAATGATGTTTAGGTTAAGGTATTAAGTGTTTTAAATAGGTTCCTAAAATAAAGTATAGGCGTCTCGTCGAATAGCTCTAAATAACAAGATGACCCGGTAATATGGGTAGTTTTAGGTCATATCGACCTATACTGCAGAGGTGAAAAACTAGCACAGCAACGGTTCTCAATACAAATACAAATACTGTATTGCCAGCAGATACCGGATGGGCAGCTACATTCTAAACAGTTGCTGAAACAATTATTTGAAATTAATGTTTTTTATAATAGTTTACTGTATATTGTTTTTTCTAATTGTTATCTGTATATGCTATATTTTGTTCGTGTCTATTTCACAAACCACACTTGTTTAATTACTGATTTTGTTATTTTGTAAATTGTAAGATTAATTTTATTAAATGCTGTATGCACATTTTTTATATTTACTCCTGATTTCTGTTATTTGACTGTTTAAAACTGTTGTTGTTTTTTTTTTTAAATTATTTTTTGGAAATGTATTTTTACTGCTGTTTTTATTAAGAACATATTAAATTTTAATTGATAACTAATGAAGGAAAAGATAAAAGTAATCTCCCATTGCTTAAAAATTAATGGATTTTCAAATTTATTATCAAAGTGTTTAGCTTTTAATCCTACTGTTTTGATACATTTTTAATGTTATATGTCACAAGTGATGAAATTTAAAAAATATTACATTCATGTACAATAATATTAATGTTTTTTTTTCAGTTATCTTAACACCACTACCACTGTATTGCGTTAACGATATTTTATTAGGCTTAGGTTTAAGTTTAAGACTAGGACTAAGTGCTTTTTTAAATTATATTACTGTCATAAACTACTTACTGCTATTTTTAAAAAGTGCTTTTTAAATAATAACTTACTGCTATTTTCACAAAGTGCTTGTACTTTTTATTTGCATGTTAAAATAAAGTGTAATTTTTCATTAGATAATGAGTTTTGTCTGATTGGCGCTTCTACTTGATGAGGACAAATATATTACATCTGTCCTGCAATATTACAAAAAAAAATCAACAAAGAGGTAGTGAACTTTCTCTTATATTCTTATATAAAAAAATAAAAGGGACAGCACTCTCGGTGCAGTTGTGCAGTATAAATGATTTTACAAGCTTTTATTTAACTTGCTTCCTGGTTCTTTTGTCTCTCGTGCTTTTGTCTGTCATCATGGGTCGAAACTGGTGCGCAAATGGTTTTCGGTCAAATTTTATTCGTATAAATTTTATATAACAGTATTTGGGAAGGCACTTTCAGTGCAATCGGGCTAGACAAATGCTTTTTTTAATTTATTTTTTTAGATAATTAATTTTTTTTAAATCAGAAAAGAATGGAGTGGAAAAAATTATAGCGTACCAAAGGAACGCGAATGATGTGTGTATAATATAGCGGAAAATTAGTACTCCGTAAAATGACATTGATTAATTTGAAAAAAAGGAATTAAGCATTTAATTAATCACATTTGATCTGAAAGTGCATTGTCGTCGAGTCTTGACTTACGTGAAAGTTCTAAAGAAATCGGTCTTGTAAAAGTGCTCTTTTTTAGAAATCAGAAAAAGTGTAAAGTACTACTTCCGGTCAACGGAAATTACTCAAAATTTGATTGAATTAAAAGTTAGGTCAGGAAACTGAACAGGAACTCAAAATTAAACTGAAACTTTAGCGGGAGACGGAATTTGACTAAAACGGAAATTTAGAACAAACTGAAAATTAACCGAAGTCGCAACCATTTTTAGGGATTTAATTGAAAACGGAACTTTATTCTTAACCGGTATTTTAACCTGATCCCGAAATTTAACCTGAAATAAAAAACCTAATATCACTAACTTTAATTCTGATGCTTAAGCTTACTATATAAATCTATATTACTTTTCCTGTATATTTTTTATATATCTAAATACAGTTCTAAAATTAGACAATTAAATTAGGCGTTTAAGTTTTTGTCTCTATTTACAATGACGTCATTATTATTGTGTATCGTTTTCGGCATTCGATTTTTAATTCTATTTTGTATTTAACAATCAACGACGCCATTATTTATTGTTTATAGACTCTAAATCTAGAAATTGCCTCAATATTGTATCTTGTAACCTTGATCTACATGTAGTTATTGTACATACCCCTAAACATTGCACCTAAGCTAACCCTTGACACTCAGAGTTCAAGTTATGATAAAGTTATGTTTTCAATAAAATTTCGTTTTCTATTAAATTTCCCTTTCCGCCTAAAATCCCTTTCCGGATTTACGGATCCAGTTAAAATGCCGATTCAACATAAATTTTGTTTTTCAATGAAATTTCGTTTCCAATTGCATTTACGTTTCTTCCTACATTTCCGAATCCGGTAAAATGCCGATTTCTAATAATGTTCCATTTTCAATAAAATTTCGTTTCCGCCTAAATTTCCGTATCCGGCTAAATTTACGGATCCGGTAAAAATGCTGATTCAGGTTAAATGTCCTTTTTCACTGAAATTTCGTTTCCGGTTAAATTTCCATTTCTGCCTAAATTTCCCCATCCGGTTAAATTTCCAGATCTGGTTTAAATTTAGCTTTAGGTTTAGGTTGAGGGTAAGGTGGGGATTTGGATTATAGTTTCGGTAACCGAAAGTAGAACTTAATCTACTTTCGATTTTTCAAAAGCCGATAATTTGAGTACTGTTTCTGATAGATAAATGAAATTTCTCGTATAGGCAAAAGATCAAATTCTCTGTCTTCTATTAAATTTTGAGGTATATCCGTTTACCGGAAGTAGTACTATACGATATTTCTGATTTCTCGAAAAAAAACGCTTAGGAATTTATAAAGTACTAATGTTCCACAATATTATACACACCTTGTTTGCTGTTCACTTGGTGCGCAATTTTTTTATATAACGTAAATTACTACTTCCAGTCAACGGAAATTACTCAAAATTAAATAGAAGGCAGAAAATTAGATCTTTTACTAACAAGTGAAATTTCGTTTATCGATCTGAAACAGTTCTTAAGTTATAGGCTTTTGAAAAAAACAAAAGTATAATAAGTTCCAATTCCAGTTACAGGAAATCGCTGAAAAGTTGATACAGAACTACAAATTTGATATAATAATTATGTATGAAATTTCATCAAGTTATCATGTTCACAGACATACACACATACACACACACATGCATACATACATATACACACACAGATCTACGGACAAAGATACAAAACTATCTTTTTCCGGCTTAGGGTGGTGTAAAACGTTCTCGATTTCGATTTTTTGCCCGATTATAATACTTAATATATTCTTCGTAACCGAGAAAGTAAAACAAAAGCCTGCCTGAAATGAACACAAACAGGTTTATTCGTTTCAGAGCATGCAGAGGCGCAGCGACCCTTTCCGGGGACAAACTTTTCGATTTGCACCCCCCCCCCCCCCTCGAGATTTCGATTTGCACCCCCCCCTCAAACTTTGGATTTGCACCCCCCTCGAGATTTTGATTTGCACCCCCCCCCCTCAAACTTTTGATTTACACCACCCTCAACCTTTCAATTTATCTTTCCAACCCATTTTGGCGCCCCCTAAGGTCGGCGCCCGGGGACATATGTCCCCCCCCCCCTCGCTACGCTACTGAGATCATGAGTCGGTTGGTGACGTGTGGGTGTGTGCGTCCGATACGTGCCATGTGTGTTTGCGCGAGTGTGTGTGCATGTGTATGAGTGCACAAATAACTTCAATTGATTATACGGTCGGAACAGTATAATGCATTCCGCAAGGAGAAAATCATTGATTTTCTCCTTGCGTGAATAAGTAGAAACACGATGGATAATAGCCAAATCAATGGCGGTCGCAATGTGTCGCATTCGGTCGCATTAGTATAGATAGGGGTATGTCACATTTCGTTGCAGTATTAGCAAATTTAAAGGCGAAATGTTTTCAGAATCAAAATAGGTAGGCCCCTACAAACAGTTCAGCTTAAATCTAAATAATTTATAGTTTTGCTTATTCGTTTTCTTAAATTCTTAAAATTGGTAAGACATTTGGATATCTACTTACTAAATAACAAATGTAACGGATTCATGAAAATGGATAGCGTTGTAAGTAGCAGTTGGATAGTAAAACAATTTTAGAAAAATAGTCCTTCGTTTAAAAATAATTTTTCAAGAATTTATTTTGAACATGTTACTATAAAGTGCTATATTATGTCAATGTTAATCTATCTATCTATCTATCTAATACTACTAAAAGTCAACTTTGTTTACATGTTTGAATATTTATTTGTTTGTTGTCTAGTTGAATACTGTAGATGATCTACGCTATATGGAGAACTGTAAAATAGAGTGTAGGTATAGAACAATTTTTGTTTTCAGACAGACTGTTAATCACAAATTTATTTAAAGACGCTAATTAATTTATTGAT